ACTGCTTTAGTTCTGTTTTGGTTCTATTCTTGTACCAAGTGTGCTGTGTGAGACTTTTTTTCAGGATTCAGAACACATTCTCTGTTTGTCTGTCTCTATCTCTTCTGTGTGTGTGTGTGTGTGTGTGTGTGTGTGTGTGTGTGTGTGTGTGTGTGCATGTGTGTTAATTTCAGGAGTTGGGACAATATGAGTGCAGCTTCATTACTAAAATGTTCACAACAGAGTGTTTTACAATCCCTGATACTGCATCTTTAGAACTCTCTGCAAAATTTCCAGGTACTTCCATGGGACCAAGAGTCTTCCCTTAGCAGTTCAACTTAGCAGAGTTAACAGCTGATTGCTTCTCCTATAACTTTGTGAGGGGATGTGAGTCTTGTAACTTTCAGCTAATTCAGATAAGCTATGAAGGTTGACTTCCTCAGACTCATGAACCCCACCTCTTCTACTTTAGCCAAGTGTCTTAATTCACATGAATTTGTCATACAAGACACCTGGACTATTAAGATGTATGGAAAGCATTCATGTCACTAGAGTGTGCTTGAACATATTAAGGGTGTCCTGATCAACTATCCCACAGTCTCTTTAAGCATCTCATCTGGTCAGGCCCTGGAACTACTCCTGAGCTTCTGGTGAGTCAGCTCTTGGGAACCTTCGGTGCTTCTCCAAATGGCTAAAACAGTTACAGTCTGCTTACTTCTGTTGCTTCCTCCCTTCTCTCTCCAGAATATTTCCTTTCTCTCACAGCCATGCTTGAACTCAGGGATCTCATCTTCTTTGTTTTTCTCTTCCAGGCCCAGGACATTGACTTTCAACAGGATGAAGACTACAACCTGCACCCTTCTCCTCATAATCTCACTTCTCCAGCTGATGATCCCAGTGAACACTGAGGAGTCCTTAGACTCTATCATGAAGAAGCTCAAGGAAGCTCTCAGCTATGGAGGTATAAAATGAGTAGGAGAAACAATAGCCTAATTCTTGCTCATGCTGTCTGTTGATAAACCAAAAACCCCTCGTCCCTCACACTAAGATCTCCACCTCTGTTCAGTCCACTTCATCCCTGCCTCCCTGACTAGGGCTCTACTCAATAGCCTACCCTTTTGTACTCTTAGATAAGAACTCAATGTTCTTGATGATGATGAAGAAAAGGAGCATATGTCCTATATTTTATGAACACATCATGAAACAGGTGTAATATTAAGCTTTCAGTGTGTTTGTGTAATTTTCATAGCCACATTATGAAGTATGTATTGTTTACTTCTATTAATTTCTTTTTACAAATGAAGAAACTAAATCTTAAAATTTAGTGAGAGGACTACTTATGGAAACAGTGATACCCCCAAGATAGAAGAGGAATTTAAAAAACATTCATATGCAAAGATCATGGGCAATATCACTTTTTTTTGTCTTACTCAGGTCACCGTCCCTCTACTGTGACTCAGACATTCTCCTGCACTAGTGTGAAGGCTTCAGGCAACCTAGCCTCCTGTCCTGCTGGTGAGTAACTCCTGAAGGAGAATTTGTGAATCAGGTGTCCCTGTGTCCACCCCATCAATTCCCTAATAGCACCTTCTCCTATCTCAGGTTTCCAAATCCATGGAGATGAGGTGTAGTTCCAGGAGATTAGTCATCACTTCTAGGTTTTCAGTCCTTAAGGATGCTATTTGTTTGTCTTGTCACATCTTCCTTCATGTTCACATATGACAGTCTTCGTGGACCTAAACTATGTGGTCATTGATATGGCCCTCTTAGTTTCCCATTCTATTCCCTTGTAGTGGTAGAAGAGGAGCCAGTACAGAGGTGAATTTTCCATCAATTGAAAAACAGTGAAATTACTAGTCTTTTCATTTAAATGAGTTTTTTTCTTTAAGAAAACCCTCAAAAGTGATTTAGTTTTATGTCCCACAAAATGTAGCTCTGTGCATGAGCTTTCTAGGGAGAACAATTAGGGACTCTGCATTTCTTTTGGTCCAAGGTCTCTGATGTCTTTATCTCACACAACCACACAGGGATGATTGCTACTGGATGTTCTTGTGGCTTTGCTTGTGGATCATGGAATGTCCAGAACGAAAATGTTTGCCACTGCCTGTGTCCAATTATTGACTGGACTCTTGCCCGCTGCTGCCAACTGGCCTGAGAATGAGGAGGCTGAGAATCTAGTTTTGAAATGATGATTGTAAAGCAACTGTGATCTCTCCCAGAAAGCCTGACTGATTGTCCTTGTGCTGAATTCCTATTACACGGTATTCCTGCTTCTTAAGTAATAAAGACAGATTTGCACTCATCTATGTTTATGTCTCAATGTTATTACTCCTGGCTTGCGGTGTCTAATGCCAGAAAACATATTCAGGATCTCAATGATTTCATCTCACTGTATCCGAGATGGGTGGTCAGGAAAGATACAGAAAGAACGGGAACAATGGTCCTCCCCCATCCAATTCTCCAACTCCCCCATTTTAATAAAAAAAAAAAAAAACTATAAGTATATTGGATGGCATGAAATACAGAGAAGTGGCGCAGCATGCTTTTATGAGAACCAACATCTACAACAGTGAGATTTGGAAGACTGCAAAGTATGGGCAGATGCAGAAAATTTAAAATAACTATGTACTAACTGTTCAGCATGTATGAAATCTCCTTCCAATTCAAGTGCCTGTGATGGCTTTAATGTGACTTCCTTTTCAATCACATGTCTCACATATATCAAAAGAACAGCACGGTCCTCACCTGTCACTGAGAATTACAATATCGCCTCTCACTGGGGCATTAAAAACTTACAGAATTCCAAAGCAAAAAATAATTAAAATATTGATGATAATGTTAAGAATGTAAACAAATGATTGGGAATTAAGTATCCTGTAATTTGGGGGGCTTCCAACTTTGAGCCTTCACAGGAGTATAAAATTCATGTGTCAACTTTAGACTACCAAAATAATTTTAAGTAATTAATAGTGGTATGGTTATTGGTAACTTAAACCAAATTAAAATAAATTGAGTATAACTATACTAAAAATCTCTCTCCATCTCCTTAATTATGGCAGTAGGTTCTTCAAAGCTAAAACTCATGAAGAACCTACTTTTTATATATAAAACTCACATCATCTAGCCAGACATCCTAGTGCATGCTAGTAATCCCAGTGTTGAAATGGCATAGACAGGCAGATTCCTGGGACTTACTGCCTAGCCAGAGTAACTGAATTGGCAAGTGTCAGTCAAAGTGAGAGACCAAGGTTGTCTAAACCTGAGGACAATGTCACAGTTGACTTCCAGCCTGATCATATATGTACACACATGCACATAAACACACACAGACACAGACACACAAACACACACACACTCACAGAGACACATACAGACATACATACACAGAGATAGAGACAGAGAAAGAGAGAGAGAGAGAGAGAGAGAGAGAGAGAGAGAGAGAGAGAGAGAGAGAGAGAGAGATGGGTTAATGGGGATTAAGTGCCAAAACATAAATGTGGAATAAGAATTTTTCTCCAGGGTGAGTTTAGTTCTTGGGGCAGAGCTCCAGATAGAACAGTTTCCCTTGCATGAGATAAGGACACATGAGGTACTTTAAAGTTATTTATGTTTTATATTGTGATATTAATATTAGTAGGAGACTTTAGAGATAAACAATAAAGGAACAGTGAGAGGTGAATAATGATGTGTTTGTATATCAAGTTGACATGGGTCAATTGTCCTGGTTGGGGTTTTTGTCAACTTGACACAAGCTAGAGTTAAATTGAGGAGGAGCTGTGGCTCTCCCTTCGAATGGGGATACCTTACTGCTTAAATGATAACTAATTTAACTTATTTAAACACTATGCAGGCCAAGCTCTCAGACTAAATTTGCATTGAGATTAGACTTTCTTACTTGGTTCCCAGCATTTTTTTTTTACATTTACTTTGCTCCAGGGTCTGCTCTGTTCCCAATTTCTTGTATTGTACTCCTGGTCAAGTGGCATGCTTGGAACTTGACCTGAAATAAAAATAGATAGATAGATAGATAGATAGATAGATAGATAGATAGATAGATAGATAAAAAATCTTTCCAAAAGCAAGCATTGCAGTTACTCTCCAGTTTTTCTATCTTTTGAACATGGTGCTCAGTCCTCCAGTCCTAGGACTAGGCTTCCAAGCCATACTTGACAAAGAAGTCAGGCTCCATGCCACCAAACAGTGACATCCCCCAATGTGATCTGGGTCCTTTCTAGGTTTGTTTAAATATAACTTATTAATAATTGATGAGAGAGTGGAGTTAATGAGAACTGAGAATGTGAACAAAATTTGTACCTGCCAGGAATAGGGAATTGGGACATTATGGAGCCTTGTGCCAAACTTGTTAACAGGGAACGCTGGGATCACATCCCAGATGTCTCAGTTGGCATCAGTCAGCTTCAATAAGAAATGTTTGTTCAAGCTGTCCCGTAATTCTGTACTTGAAATTCTAAACTCCAGAGAGGAAGTACAGCAACGAAAAGCAGAAGTTTTGAGAGTAGAGCTAGCTCCTAGATGATAATCTGTGGGCAAAACACCCAGGTTTGCACAAGTGACAGTAGATCATGGCCATTCTGTTCAATGTCCCACTCTTTACTGGGGTTTGGCATGGAAAAGGCAGAGTAATAATGATGGAATCTGACTGCAGAGGACTATGTCAATGTGTGTAACTCCCATGATAAGTATGTTGAGAGATGTACTATGAAAACATTAGCATTTGTCCGAATTCTTTTTCTTAACTCCCACAGGTTCCTGTTTAGTTTTATAATAAATATCAATTACCTAGCAGGAGAGAAGGGAGTCAACATCCATCACCATATACCTGTTTTTGAAACAACTTTGTTTAGGAGAATAAAACCTTTGAAGGTGAGTATAAGTAGCCTTTGTGGTCTCAAGCAGTCTTGTACCTAAAAATGAAACAATGTTTCAAGAGTCACCGTGGGCCGTTCAGCTGGTCAGAGTCAACAGCTGATTACTTCTCCTATAACTTTGGGGGAGGGTGTGAATCTTGTGTAAGTTTCAGCTTTTCAAAACAAGTGAAGAGGGTTGACTTCCTCAGTCTTATGAACCTCACCTCTTCTTCTTTAGACAAGTGTCTTAATTCACAGGAAATTGCTATACAAGACATCCGGGCTGTCAAAATGTACTGAAAGTGTTTACCCCATTGAGGTGTGCTTGTATATATTAAGGGTGCCCAGGTCAGCCATCCCACAGTGTATGAAAGCATCTCATCTGGTTAAGCCCTGGAACCACTCCTGAGCTTCTGGTGAGTCAGTCAGCTCTTGGGAACCTTCTCCGCTTCTCTAAATGGCTAAAACAGTTACAGTCTGGTGACTCCTGTTGCCTGCTCCCTTCTCTCTCCGGAATATTTCCTTTCCCTCACAGCCATGCCAGAGCTCAGTGATCTCATCTTCTCTGCCTTTTTCTTCCCATCTCAGGACAATGACTTTCAACAGGATGAAGACTACAATCTGCTCCCTTCTCATCACCATCTCCCTTCTCCAGCTGATGATCCCAGTGAACACTGAGACCTTAGATTCTCTCCTGGAGAAAAAGATCAAGGAATTGGGCTGTGGAGGTATGAGATGAGTAGGAGAAACCATAACCTAATCCTTGCTCGTGCTGACTGTTGATAAAGCCTAAAATCTCTGTACCCCACTCTAAGATCTCAACCCCTGTTCAGTCCACTTCATCCCTGCCTTCCTGACCAGGGATTTCTTCAGTACTCTACCCTTTTGAACCCTTAGGTAAGAGATCAATGTTCTTGATGATGATGAAGACAAGGAGCATAGGTCCTGTAATTTATGAACACACTATGAAACAGGTATAATACTAAGCTTTTAGTTAGTTCATTTAATTTTCATAGCCACGTTAGGAGGTAAGAACACTTTACTTTCTACTACTTTCTCTTCACAAATGAAGAAACTAAATCTTAAAAGTTAGTGAGTAGACTACTTATGGAAACAGTGACACCCCCAAGGTAGAAGAGGACTTATAATGGAATGTGAGAAAGATCATGGGCAATATCACTTTTTTCCTCTTACTCAGGTGAGTGTACCTCCACTGTGACTAGGACTCTCTCCTGCACTAGTGTGACAGATAGAAGCAGACTAGCCTCCTGTCCTGCTGGTGAGTATCTCCTTGAGGACAATTTGTGAATAAGGTATCCCTGTGTCCATCAATTCCCTAATATTGCCTTCTCCTAACTCAGGTTTCTGTTTCCATGGAGCTGAGGCATAGTGCCAGGTGCCTAGACATCCCTTCCTAGTTGTTTGTTACCTTAAGGATGCTGCTGAAGGACTCTAGGGTTCTGCTCTTCCTATAACCTCTTCCTTCATGCCCGTATATGCCCATCCTTCTTGTCCCTTGATTGTCTAGTCATGGATATGGCCTTCCTTTATTTCCTAATCTATCCCATATATTGGTGAACAGGGGGCCAGAACAGGGGTGAAATTGCCATCTACTGAAAGACAGTGACATCCACCTTCCAAGTCCTTCAATTTAAGTCATTTTTGCATTTCATTTGCTTGAAGAGAATTCTGAAGTTTGAAGAGCTTTATGCCCTGCAAAACCTAGATCTACCTATGCACCTCTTAGAAGAAAAAAGGACAGCTAGGGACCTTCCATTTCTTGCAGTCTAAAGGCTTTTATGTCTCACATGACTATGCAGGGATGGCTGTCACTGGCTGTGCTTGCGGCTATGGCTGTGGATCATGGGACATCCGCAATGGAAATACTTGCCACTGTCAGTGTTCAGTCATAGACTGGACCACTGCCCGCTGCTGCCAACTGGCCTGAGAAGGAGGAGGCTGACAACCCAGTTTTGAAATGACGACTATATCCAAACTGCAATCTCAACTTGGACACCTGGCTCATGTCCCCTTAATGAATTCATATTACCCAGTAATCCTGCTTCTTGGAAAATAAAGACAAAATTTCACCTGCCTATGTTATGTCTTTAATGTTATTACCCCTAACTTGGGAAATCTCTCACTAGAAAATATTATCAGTAACTCAGATTACATCTCAGCATGGCATGTGAGATTTGTGGTTAGGGAAGGATGGGAAAGGGACTGATTCTCCACTTCGCCTATTCCCTCATTATTTAACAGAAAGTATTGAGTACATTGTTTGGCATGAAATATAGTAAATCAAATACCATGCTCTTGATGGAGCTCACCAGCTGAACCAGTGAACTCTAACCCATGTGCAGGAGAACTTTGCAAGATGCAGGCAGGCAAGAGGAAATGGAAAATAACTTCTAACCTTTTAGTATACACATGTACTCTTTCTTACTCAAGTACCCAAGATGGCATTCATCAAGGTGACTTCCTTCCCTGTTGTTTTCTTTTGAATAACAACATAAATCCACAACTCTCACATGCCACTGCCAGAGTCTTACTATACATTTTCCTGGTGTAAAAACTATAGATTCCAAACAAAAAGTAAGTTAAGCAAGTAAGTAACCCAAGGACTTGGAAGTGACTGTGCTTTAAGTTGATGGACTTGAATTTTTGGATTTCATGGTCCTGAATAAAACTATAATTCAGTTACAACTTTGGATTACCAAGAATGATTTTTCTTTTTATTTATTCTTCTCTAATATATTACATCCTGACCACAATTTCCCCACCTCCTCTCCTCCCAGCCACCCTCCCTCTATTTCCTCTCTCACCCAGATCTACTTCTCTGTTTCACTCAGAAAAGGGTAGGCCTCCTAGGGATATCAACCAAACAGTACAACAAATTACAATAAGACCAGACATATGCCCTCATATGAAACTTGGATGAGGGAACCCAGTAAGAGGAAAAGGGTCCCAAGTGCAGACACAAGAGCCAGACACAGCCCTTGCTTTCACTGATAGGGGGCCCATGAGAACACCAAGCTGCACAACTACAACATATATGCAAAGGGTGCAGTCAGAACCATGCAGGCACCCAGACTGTTGGTTCAGTCTTGTGAGCCCTTATGAGCCCTTCTTTGTGGATTCTGTGGGTTTTCTTGTGTTGTCCTTGACTTCTCTCGCCCCTTGCTTCCCTTCCTCTGCAGGATTAACCAAGCCCCACCTACTGTTTAGTGTGGGTCTCTGCATCTGCTCCTATCTGTTGATGGATGAAGCCCCTCTGATGACAAGTATGCTAAGCTCTGGTCTATGAGTATAGCAGGGTATCATTAGTAATCATTTCTTTCCCTTTTTTTTCCAGTTGTGTTTAGTTCTATCCTAGATCTCTGGGCTATCCACTATGGTTCCTGGCCCTTGATGCAGTGTCAGGCATGGGATCCCTCTTGTGGCATGGGTCTCAAGTTGGAACAGTCATTGGTTGGTCACTCCCACAATTTCTGCAATACTTCTACCCCAGCACATCTTAAAGGCAGGACTAATTGCAGGTAGAAGGTTGTGCCTAGCTTGGTTTCCCGATCCCTCCACTGGAAGCCTTGCCTGGTTACACAAGGTGGTTTGTTCAGACTCTGTATCCCTCATTACTAGGAGGCTTCACTAGGGTCACTCTCATAGATTCCTGGGAGTTTTCATTGCACTAGGTTTCTACCTTGCCTCCCAAAAGCCCCCCAATTTCAGTCATCTCTCCTAGTACCCTCTCACCCCCCAACCACACCCCTCCTGTTCCCATACCCACACGTTTCCCAATCCACCAGTGAAATTTATTCTGTTTCCCCTTCTCAGGGAGATCCATGTGTCCCCTCTTGAGCCCTCCTTGTTACTTAGCCTCCCTGGTTCTGTGGATTGTAGCATGGTTATCCTTTACAGCTAGCATCCACTTATAAGTGAATACATACCATGTTTGTTCTTCTGGGTCAGATGGAACTCAGAATGATCTTTTTCTAGTTCCATCCATTAGCCTGCAACTTTCATGATGTTATTTTTTTAAGAGCTGAGTAGTACTCCATTGTGCAAATATACATTTTCTTTATCCATTCCTTGTTGGGGGACAACAAAATTGTTTCCAGTTTCTGGCTGTTATGAATAAAGCTGCTATAAACATAGTTGAGCAAGTGTCCTGCGGTAGGATGGAATGCCCTTTGGGTATATGGTTATGAGTGGTATAGCTGGGTCTTGAGGTAGATCCATTCCAAATTTTCTGAGAAACTGCCATATTGATTTCCAAAGTGGCTGTACAAGTTTGCACTCCCACTAGCAATGGAGGAGTATTCCCCTTGCCTTCACATCTCATCAACATGAGCTATCACTTATGTGGTTTTGACCTTAGCCATTTGGTCAGCTTTAAGATGGATTCATTTTGATTTTCATTTCCCTGATAGCTAAGGATATTGAACATTTTTGTTGTCGTTTTTTCTTTGTAGCCCTGGCTGTCCTGGAATTCACTCTATAGACTAGGCTGGCCTTGAACTCACAGATCCACCTGCCTTTGCCTCCCAAGTGCAGGGATTAAAAGCATGTGCCACCACCTCCTTTAAGTGTTTCTTTGCCATGTGAGATTCCTTTGTTGAGAATTCCCTGTTTAGATCTGCATCCCATTTTTAATTGGATTATTTGGTTTGTTGATGTCTAGTTTCTTGAGTTCTTTATGGGAAAAGATTTTCACCAACTTCAAAAATGATTTAAAATAATAAATATTGAGAACCCAAGAGGAATTTAAATAAATGCACCATCACTACAATAAGAATATTCTCTTCCTTTTTATTGACTAATGACAGTGTATTTCTCAAAGCTAGTAACCATAAAAATAGAAATTCAATTAGATGCTGTGATATATCTGTGAATATATAAAGTACTTATATCCTCCATTTAAAAATGCATTCATAGGTATACTGTATTGCTGCAGCCAGTGCAGCTAAAGCCAAAACTTGGAGTTTCTGGAAGAGAAGAGCAATGACCAAGGGCAGATAGATACATAGACACCCTGGTACAGATAGTACAAACACAACTTTTACTGAGAAATGAGAACTTTCTTTAACAGTTTCTTATGTTTTAATGCAGAGCAGGGTTACTGAGAGTGTCGGCCCTTATCTTAGCAGTCGTAAGTGTTCAGAGCTACCTCCAGAACATACTGTCCCCAAAGGCACACCTAAAGGCTATCTGATTACCTTTCAATTTTCCACAGAGATGCATGCATGTGTGAAAGCCAAGGGGGCGATTATCTGAGTCACAAGTTGCCCTTGATTTTAAGTTTGTCCTTTATTGTTCTCTCCATAGCAACAGTCTATTTATTAATTATTTATCAAAATGCTTTTTAAAAGTTCTATTCCCTGGCATACTGTTAATCATTGCAATCATAGTTCCATGATTTTATTTATAGCATTTTAGTATTTTAAAATATAAAATAGACCATGCATTATCTTGTCTCAATTATTCTAACTCTAGTGCAGTTGTTCTCAACCTGTGGGTCAAGACCCCTCTGTGAGTCGCATATCAGATATCCTACATATCAGATTCATATCAGTAGCAAAATTACAGTTATGAATTAGCAATGAAATAATTGTTGGGCTGTGGTCACCACAAATATGAATAACTATATTAAAGGGTAGCAGTATTGGGAAGGTTGAGAACCACTGCTCTAGTGACGTTTTATGAAAAATTATGTCCTACTTATTTGATGAAGGCTAACAAAATTCTGAATTCTGTGGCTCCTGAATATACTTCTGAATTCATTTCTACCCCTTGCTCACTTCACTCTGGTCATGTCTGCATTTCTATACATTACACTCATCCTCCTACTTCCTACTCAGCATGAACAAAATAATTAGTGTACAAGTCCAGTTCTGAGTCCAGGTCAGCTTCTTCTCTTACTTTCTGCGCATCTTCTTCTACCCCAGTCTTGACCATAGGGCAGCAGATATTGTTTTAACAGATGTTTGGGTTCCATGGTATCAACAAGAATCCTATCTGTTTATAGACAGCACCTCTGAGAAAGAAAATATAGAAGATGAAGATGGAGGCCAGAGGTCAGCAATAGTAAAAGCAGAAGTCAGACTTTGTAGGTCGGGTTAACATAACTCATGACTGTATGGCCAATTTCTTGTCTTGTGTGTTAACAGAAGTCTGATTTCTTTTAGGGTTGTAGGGTATCCTGCCTAGGAGAATAAATATGTATTAGACACAGTAATGGAACTCACACCTTTCTTGGCCAAATATTCTGTTTCTTAACCATCTCTGTATAAGGTGAAGTTACACAGACTAGAAGGTCACCTAAGTCAGACCATAACAGCAATCTGCTTCTGCTTTCTGAGAGTATGCTTCTAAAGTTAAAGCAAGCAAACAACAACAAAAACATAAACAAATCCAGGTTTAAGCCTATGTCTCTACTTTTTAGAGCAGGGACAAATATGGTCAAAATATATAATATATTTGAATGAAAAGCCCATAATAAAATTCATCACTATATGCAATAAATATATGCCAGTTTAAAAAGTGAAGAAAGAAAAACCAGGCTTAAAATTGTCCAAGACCCTTGTTTCTTGGACTGATCATGTAAGATGATGTCTCATGCTATGGCAGTCCTCCAGTTTGTAAGTGGGAAGTGTACTGTTGTTAATCTCCCATAGAGAATGACTTGAGAGCAATGTCATGCTAGGCAAGCAGATGACAACCCATAATCTTTCATCCTATCATATGTTTACTGCTTTTCCTTGTTGAATCAATAACTAAAGGGCTTATAATGAGAGATGTTCTCAAACTTGGCAGCTTCTACCGAGTGGAGATGGATAGAAGAAAATTGAGAGATACCAAAAAAAGGGCAGGAAGATAACCCCTCCCCGCCCCCCAACACACACACATACACACACACACACACACACACACACACACACACACACACACACGCAGAGAACCAGAGCAAAGGACACTGGCTAGAAACTGTCTCTTGCACTTTTTGAAAACTCCATCCTCTCCAGCTGTCATAGATCACAGGTACTGCCAGTGTGTTTGTTTGTTGGGAGAGGGGAGAGGCTGAACTTGTGACAGCCCA